TACGTAAACAGCAATAATTGTCAAATTGTTTCTTTCAAGAGATCCTTTCACGAAGATACACGGATCTGCTTGACCTTGTCTGAAATTTAGTGATTCGAGCGCGTTTCTAAATTTTCGATTCCAGCAACGTGGTGATTGCTTGAGTGAGTCCATAGAGGGATTTTTTGAGCCTGCAAACAAGATTCTCTTTTCCACGTATCACGTAACCCTCTGGTTGCTCCATATAGATTTCTTCCGTTAATTCTCCGTTCAGAAATGCCGTAGTGACATCCATTTGATGAATCAGCATTCGGTTTTGAACTGCAAAAGCCAGTAAGGCTCGAATAGAACTGAACCGCACGACAGGAGAAAAGGTTTCATCAAAATCGACGCCGTACTTCTGAGAATATCCTTTTGCTACTAAACGACTTTTGAAACGTTCCACTTGTTCATTTTCGTCATACTTTACTTTGAAGACCCACTTGCACCCGATAGTCTTTCGGTCTTTTGGTGGCTTCACTAACTCCCACGTTTGGTTCTCTATGAGTGACTGATACTCTGAATCCGTTGCTTCTTTTCACTGTGCGGAATATTCACTATTGAAGGCTTCTTGGATGGTAGCTGGTTTTTTGATGATTGCTGAGAATACAACATGTTTTGCTTCTGTGACGTCAGCATACTCATCCAAGCCAAATCGAGGTGGTGGTACCCCTTTTGTGGATCTTTGAGATCGTCGAGGATGGCTTTCTTCTGCATCCGTGTCCCTTTCCGTAGGCTCTGTTTGTCGTTTATCTTCCTTTGCTGGTTCTGGACCCATCTTCAAATACTGTTTTTGAGATCCAAAATCATTTTCATTGAAGTTAACGTCTCTTCTAATCACTATTCTCTTGCTCTGCATATCAAAAAGTCTGTATCCTTTCTGATTTGCACTGTACCCCAAGAATCGAAGTCTGTTGGCTTTCTTGTCCAACTTTCTTCGCTCAGACTCTGGAATATGAGCATAAGCTATGCAGCCGAACACACGAAAGTAGGAGACGTCAGGGGGCTTTCCATACCATTTTTCATACGGTGTTTGACCTGATGCGCTGGTTATAACACGATTTCTTATGTAGGCTGCAGTGTTGACTGCTTCTGCCCAGAAGGTCTTGCTGAGTCCGGCATTGTTCATCATCGCTTTTGCGGATTCAACGAGAGTCCGGTTCATGCGCTCAGCCACTCCATTCTGTTGTGGAGAATGAGGAACAGAAGTTTCGTGTTTGATACCTTTCCTTTTCAGAAGATTTTCAAAGTCATTTGATACATACTCTCCGCCATTATCTGTACGCAAGGTTCCAATTTTACACGCAGCTTCATTGGTTGCAGAGGCTTCAAATTCTTTAAACCTCTTTAGTACCTCAGACTTCTTTCTAATGAAGTAGACTTTGACACATCTCGAGTAGTCATAAATGAATGTGACAAAATAACGCTTTCCCGAAAAGCTCTGTATTGACATTGGTCCACATACGTCACTGTGAACTATCTGTAATTTTCTAGAAGTCTTGATCCCCTCTGTTGACTTGAAAAGTTTTCTGCTCATCTTACTTTCCGCACACCCTGTGCAAAAGTTCAGTTCGTCATTTCCTTGGATGGCAACTCCTTTGATGAGCTTCTTCTTGACTGATTCCAATAGCTGTTTTCTATTTATATGTCCTAGCCGTTGATGCCAAAAATCCATCGTGCTAGGGTTGCTATTTTCCATCCTTTCAGATTGGTGATAAGCTGCTGTTATCTCTGTTTCGCAGCTCAGAACGTACATTCGCTTAACGAGTTTTCTTTTGCCTACAGCCTTACCGTCCGAGTCTTTTATCCAGCAACAAGTATGTCCAAACTGAACAATGAGTCCCTTCTGTGTCACAGCTCGCACACTGAACAGGTTGCAAGCTAGTTTCGGAACATAGAGTACATTATCCATTTCAATTGTCAGCTGCTTGTTGTGGCTTGTTTCTATGGTTATTTGAGCACGTCCTGATCCACGGGCTTCCACTGTATGTCCGTCACCCAGTTTGACTAATTCAGGCTGGTTGAACTCTCTGTAGTTAATCAAAAGCAGTTTTTTTGAGGTCATATGCTGCGAGGCACCCAAATCCAGAATCCATTGTCTGTTTGTCTCATTTTCTGTTTGTTCATTTTCAGCTAGAAAGAGTTGAGAGTCTGAGTCATCATCTTCCTCCTTTCCTGCAGTCTTTGCATTATGTGTTTCATTTTTAAATGAATTGCTGGGCCTCACTTGCTTCCTTTTGTGATATTGAAAGCTTTTATGACCCTCCTTGCCACAGTTGTAACATTTGCCTTTGAAAGGCCTGCTGATGCCCTTTTCCAAATGTAATGCTGAGTCTTGATTAATTTTAGTCGTTGCGGTTGCTTTGAAGGCCTGTTTTTTCTGCTCTTCATTGATAAGGGCTTGCTGGACGAAGGCCAGTGATAGTTCATCTCCTTTAGCTTCCAGAGCTGTAGCGAGTCTTGTATAGCTTGGTGGAAGACTTATGAGCAATGCCACGACTTGCTTTTCTTCAGCTACTGTAGACCCGAGTGCATGGAGTTTATCAGCAATTTCCTTCATATGTTTCAAATGATCTTGGACCGATTGCCCTACAAGCATTTTTGAAGTAAAATGTTGTCTTTTGAGAAACAGCTTGTTGGCTATCGTATCCCTCTCGAAATAGGCTTTGAGAGTATCCCACAGGTCCTTCGGTGTTTCGCATGATGTCACCAAGTAGATAAGATTCGACTGAATTCCCATTACCAACGTCGCCATTGCCTTTTGCTTGGCCTTTTCGTATGTAGCTCTAGATGCTGTATTATCGTCAGGTAATGAAATCGTTCCATCTACATGATCCCACACATCTTTCGCCATCAACAAATGTTTCACTTGAAACTTCCATGTAGACCAGTTTGACCTATCTAATTTTTCGATTTCGAATTTATCTCCAATTCCAGCCATGTGCAGTGGTTTGGTTCTGGGCCCATTTGACCCTGTTGTTTTTGAGATTCTATCGACTTGTTCACTGCGAAACATGCAACTATCTAAACTATACGTGACGCGTGCTAAAAAGTTCTACCTCGGCGATCATTAGAACTTTCTAGAAGCTTTTAATTAGCTGACAATAGAGCAGCAAGCAATCTACTCTAACAACGCGTCCTACACTAGCTACTAATTACGAAGGTAATTAGTTTACTTACAAAAGCAGCAATTACGTAACTGTTGAGTGCACGTTCCCAACACAAATAAGAAGTTGTGCTGTGATTTCCGTTGTTAAATTTATGCAAAAAAGTACATCATTAATGGCGAGTCCAAACTTAGCGTGATTGACAAGTGTAAATATTAAACTCTTAAAAACGTATCAAAACATCGCACAATGATGAAATCACACGATCGACACAAACTCATGCCGGTGTAATATGCGTTTTGGTACCCTGTGCAAAAGTGTAACATTGTGAAACGCAATGTGTTTCAGATCGTGTGATTTCATCATTGTGCGATGTTTTGATACGTTTTTAAGAGTTTAATATTTACACTTGTCAATCACGCTAAGTTTGGAGTCACCATTAATGATGTACTTTTTTGCATAAATTTAACAACGGAAATCACAGCACATTTTCTTATTAGCACCCCTTTTAGAAAAATAGTTCAATTGCTCTTTACATTCTGAACAATATGACCCAGAACATTTGTGTACCCGGACCGGTTCGGATCCTAAATTCCAACATTGGTTTTGGTACCCTGTTGTTTAAGTGCTTGGGTACGTTGTTGCATAACCAAAATTGTCATGCGTTTGTGTACCCGAACCGAAATGCATAAGGTTACCGAAACGCATATGACACCGGCACGAACTCATGCCGGCATGAGTTCATTTCGGGTCTCATGTAAAGGGCCCCTAACATTAGTAATATTTGAACTCAGCTTGGTTTTTTTGGAGTAACATGTGCACAGAAGTTTGAGATAGCCTAAACAAGTCATCCGAAGGTTTTTTAGGCATGTACTGCGAAAAGAACCCAGAAAACGTGTTCTCCCGGCATAACGAATTTCAAATATAACGAACTATTTTCTTGTTCCCCTCAGAATTCTTTCGATCGGGATCCCACTGTACATACAAACAGTCTAGGAGTACAAAGGTAATCGAGTTCTCCTTTTCAGACGAAAAATAAGTATCAAAATAAGCAAGAACTTACTTAATGATTGTTTGTGTCTTTGCTTCTGCTTCTAGTTGTTGAAGTTACCAGCTGTATCAGATAAGTGATGTTTTGTTGTTGCATCCAGGAACCTTAACAAGGTAATCCAGGCTACTGAATACCACTCTTAAATTCATTGAAACTGATTCAATACTTCCTTGACAACTGCTAAACAGGTGGTTTGTTTAAATATTACAGCAGTGTAATAGGAATGTCTGCCGTATCCGCCCTTACAAGTAATCTTACATTTTCGGCCCTTCGTCTTGCGGATAAAAACATCTTGTGGACTAAGGTTACTTCCGCGGGGCTTTCCCTTCCATTGCCTTTAGATAGTTGCTGCTCGGTGTCCCTAGTAAGTCAAAAACATGCTGCGCACGTAGCCCGTCAGCACCCCAATTTCAACTTCACTAGACTTGAGCAGCACGTCCCCGTTTCGGTAGCTGGGCCTACCTCCAATCTACATGCTGTAGGTATCATGGAAGTCCCTATTGTATGGGAAAATGGTCGATCAGTTACATTTACAATGCTTGTCGTTCCTAATTGATATGGCCTATTTTGTTCGGGCAGAATCATTTACGCAAGACAGATGCTCGAATTTATAGCAAAGATCTCAAGGTGTACTTTGCTGATTCTGCCATTAATTTCGAAATTTCATGTTACTATTTCAATCCGTTATCGGTATTTCCTAGTATGCAATGTCAAGATAGTATACCCCCTGCTTCCAGCGCAAATATCACATGCTTAGCAACATCACTACCTAAATCTTCCGGGGGTACCCAACAGGTTTCGCTCCGTAAGGGGTTACATTTTTTGACAGTCAGCTTAATCTTAGCTATTTCATTTATGTGTTCTCTCTTTTCCTCAGGATCCCAATGCCTAGCAAGTCAGCAATTTTCCCCAGGCTTGCGAACCCTAAGAGGTCCAATTAGCCGTCCCATCCCTCTGAGTTTGGTTGCAGCTCGTGTTCCCCACATTGGGCATAAATTGGCTAATGACGTCATATCAGCGCCTATGCACGTTTTTACTACAAACGTTCTTGTTCACAGCGAAGTTCAATTAGCTAAGTTGCCATTTAACGTTGAATTAGGTATTGTACGCCCAACTACTGACGTCGAAACATTAACATTCACCCATGCCATCAGTCATGCCAGTCAAACCATTGTGGACAATTTGTATTCATTTGTATGCAACACTGCCATGCGTCAAGCACATACTAATTTCTCTCACAATAAACCCCATTCTTCTGTGACCGTGCACAAAGACTCTTCTGCACTACAGAAAAATTCTCCAGACGTTTCTAAACTGGACGTCTCTCTTTTGACGTCATACATAAAAGACCCGATTCTACAATACCCCGAGTTGCTTATGCGCACGCCCAGCTTATGTAAAGATTCGAAGATTTTGTGCCCATTCCTCCACAAACCAGGTCAGCCTGTGCTCCAGACCCCTATGTAATATGTTCAGCGGTCTAAGGACTTATTTTCAGATTCAAACGAAAGAACATCGACAAATTTCTCAGAACAACAAGATGTATATCGACGAAATGCTTTTACAAGTAAATCGTAATTTTAGACTAACCGGAGAACCTTTCACAAGCGCTCTCATAAAACGAACTGAACTAATTGTGTAAAAATCTAAATACTTAGTTGTGCGATATAATAGTATAGCTCAAGGGGCAGATAAATGATACGTGAAGGTCTATTTGAAATCTGCAAGGTTAATAGGATTAAAAGATATAATGCGGAGAAAATTCAAATGTGTTACTGTGTTAATTAAAAAACGTGAACGTAGAAAACAAGCAAAATGAGATTCGAAATAAACTTCAATTAAATTAAAATGCTGAGCAACACAAACAAGGCGTGGCGGTGCGGTCGCTGCGAAGCATGATATGTGTTGCAAGGCAAAGCACAAAGCATTGTTACACCTAACTTGAAAGTAGAGCGTCTGTGTAACTGAGAGCAAATTCGCGTACGAGGATTGAATTGAATTGTTTGCATAATTATCACAGATTTGTTTAATCATGCAAGAAGAAGCGCTAATATTTTGATCGGTCCTGGCAGTATGATGTAGATTTGTATGTTAGAAGAAAAGTTTTATAGCAGAAGAAAATGCTGCTCTGCTATTTGATGTTGAAGATCTTCGTTGGGACATTTCATTGGTTCTAGCCAAAACAGATTAAAGAGGCTGTGGGCCAATCTTGCTAATTTTACAGCAGTTGACGGGGAGTGAATCTACCGCATGCAGCAACCGAAGTAAAATTAACTTGGCAACCAATCGATTTGCTTTGAGTAGACTTGTTTATTTACTTGTTTAGCTTGAATTTAATGTAAAGAAGGATTTTTTGGGACAAGGTCTGGTGGCTACGATGACAGAAAACATGACTTTCGGAGTAGTGATAAGAAATGGAAACCGAAAAGTAAACAAGACGCTTTGGCTTCAAGCCGTAGAAAATGATCTCTGGTTGGTTATAATCGCAAGTTTACAGACAGTGGAAATTGCTTAAGACTAGTAAACAAATATCATTGATCCGGATAAGGCTGCCTAACTGAGTGGACTAATTATTTTAGCAATGTGAGGCAGTAGGCCTAGGCCTATGCTCTGTACTTTTCATCAATTCTTTTCGTCATGATAGTGATTGCTTTGCTATAAACACGTCTTCTAAGTTTTATTTGTTTGAAATGTGAAATTATGATGTTTAAAAATGATTTTCTAACGTTCATTAACACATAAGAAAAGAATTATCAACAACAAGCGTGTGTTTTGATCAAAATTCATCCTCCGTTTTTTAAGAGTTTCCATTCTCTCGCCGGGTGACAATTATCTAGGCGTCATGATATATTCAAGGCTTCCAGGCATTATTGTGGCATAGTCTGAAAAAATAAAAGAAACTTTGAATTTTCACACATTTCTTTTCGCTATTTGAATGTGTAAACTGCCCCGGCAAACAACGCTCTGTTTACGCCATTGCTCACTTTTGTCATGTAAAAGCCGCATAATTTACGCATAATTAATTTTCCCAGAGATCCTTGGAAAAGCTCGTACCAGATATTGCTCTCGGTTACACAGACCCTCTACTTTCAAGTTAGGGGTCTGGAACACAGGCTAGGGGGGGGGGGGGTGGCAAAAAGAATTGAAAGGGCGCGAATATTTTTTATCCTAAACAATAGTAAGTGTCAAAAATGGTACAGATTTCATGGTAATTTAGACATTTATGAAAATATTGAAACATGCTGGGCACAGTAAGAACTATTTTCACTGAAAGTAGATAGATGGCTATGTACTCCATTTAGGGACCACGCACTCTTGATCATAATTAATACGCTGTACTTATTTTCCTTATAATTTGCATTGTAAGTGGATTTGGCCCCGGGTAAGATGCAGGCACACACCCTTCTTTCATACTTGTGGCAGGCGCAATATACTCAACAAAAGTTCAGATCTAATGCAACACAACAACGAGTCCAAGCCAAAACATGAACTTAATGGAATTTTCAAATTGTTAGTCTCTTTATACTTCAAAGCCAATTCCAGTCCCTCTCCATTTCAGAGCAAAGTATTAGTCTCTATAATTATCATAAGCCCATTCGAATAATGATTTCGATTTTCTTACTTTTATATTTGAACAATTAAGTCCCCCTTGGCATTCGCGCCTTTCCATCACCACTTGAACACATAAATTTGTTCGCCTCCGTGGAATTCTTTGATCCCGGCGGCCTCAGTCAGTTGGACAAACGTATTACATGTGAGTTACGAAAAACTCTGAGAAAGGGTGGTCTGGAAACTAGAATTCTAGGACATAGAATCTTGAAAACAGGGTTACTTTTTTAATCAGTCAGAGGAAACACAAAAGGGATTTACTGATATGATGTTACAGATGATTTTGTTGGTAAACCAGTGGCATATAGAAGTACAACAAATTTTGCTTTAGCACAAAAACACAGTGAAAAGAGCTACACAATTTTGGCAAAGTCAAAGAATAGGGAACATTTTACGCAACCCAGAATCAGAGATAGGGGTCCAGTTTCTACTTTCAGAAATACACACAATATACATTGGACCATTTGAATGTGCCTGTCGAGGAATTGATGCGGACCTTTCAGTGATGCATTTGTTGCTGAAGATATACTAAAGAAATTTTGTCGCGAGACTGGCAGTCTCCTTCACAATCAATATTGTTCATCACAGGAGCTTGCACTTTTTGAATCAAGACCAAGTAAAAGTGTAAGGAAATTTCAGTGAATGGTCCTCCAATAACGCCCAGATTCAAGTTATTATACTTATCTTCTAAAGGCAGAATATCTGGCAGTGAAAAAATACACGAAATATAGTTTTCAAAAAGGGGTACCTTCTTATACTTTCTGCAAACAGGGGGGGCCTGTGGCCCCGTGGCCCCCCTTGCTCCGGCGGCCCTGTAACAAAGTAATCCAGGCTACTGAAAAACACCCTTAAGTTCATTGAAACTGATTCAATACTTCCCGGACAATTGCTAAACAGGTGGTTTGTTTAAATGGCTTGGAAGATAAACTTACAGTGACCGACATGCACAAACTTCCTTGCAAAAGTCTAAAAGAAAGCAAATCAAGCTGGGGCTTTGTCAGGGATGTTGAAACCAAATCAGAGCAAAACAACTTTTTGTTGCCATACTCTCCAGATTGGCTCAAAGCAAAATCAAATTTAATTTTTCAATTTTCTCTGCTTCGTATTTTTTCTTTTCAAAGTACTTGTTAACTGGCATGGTTACCCTAAAACTTATAGGCCAAGTTGAATATTCAAAGTCACAAAGATGAAGAAAAGAGAACAATTTGATTTCCCTGAGCACAGTTTTGTCAATATGGTGCATATTTTGTTTTATGAGCTTCAGATGAAGTTCCAGTAGCAAATTGGGCATTGTTCTAACAAATTTTTGTCAAGTGACAGTTCCATGATGTCCCTTCTGCCGCTATGTTCCCGCATTGCTGGGCACAGTAGAACTGAGTTAGATTCTTAGTGTCCCCTTGTTTTCTCAACGTGTCCCAACGTGTCCTCTCGTGTCCCCTCGTGTCCTATCGTGTCCTATCGTGTCTTCTCGTGTCCTCTCGTGTCCTCTTGTGTCCTCTCGTGTCCTCTCGTGTCCTCTCGTGTCCTCTCGTGTTCCCTAGTTTCCCTCAGTATCCCCAAGTGTCCCCAAGTGCCCCTCGGTCTCCCCAGTGTCCCCTTCTGTCCCCTAGTGTCTCCTAGTGTTACACAATGTTGTCGGAGTTTGATAAACCTGCTGCTCCCTCTGCAAAACGAAAGCCATGGAAAAAATCATTACAGTTTTTAGTCAACTTACAGGCCTACATATCTACTTCTTCGTTCGCTTAGCAAAACTTATTTTGAGTTCAAAAACATCAACAGTCGCACAGGAGATGCCTTTATGATATTCATGCAAATACCATAAGATTTTCAAATACCACACTTGAAATATACCGCATTTATTAATTTTTAGCCGAGGCTTGTTATTAAATCTTGGCTCACTTTGTTGCTTTGACAATTGTAGGCGGCTTAGAAACGAGACCGGCTTACATCATTTGGCGGCTTACATCGTCTTACCCAGATCATACCAAGCGTTGCTCTGATGAAGCATCGTATGCCTGGTTGAAATATTAGCCTTCACTAATCTACGTTTATTTATTTTTGTTCATTCTCGTCGCATTGCGGTGTTTCTTATTTTCTACACTACCAAGCTTTCTTGCTTCCTTGTAGCTGCGAGTTATAATGTCGGTATGTATCCTTCAATGGTTCTTGAGAAATTGTTTGGGAATAATAGAAGGCCATCAAATCTGAAGAAGGCAACCTATAATAGAAGCTTTAAAGTCATTGATAGTTTAATGTGAATGCTTAAAATCAGCCCTGTGTCGTAGTATTCTATCAATTAAGATTGAAATATGTTATAATTCGGTCACCGAAGTGATTTTCCAAAAATACATTATGGTAAAGAAATCGTGGTTTCCTTGTATTCAAAATGGAAATGACAACCTGTGGGAAATGCAGAGTTATCTTTCTGAAATAAAAGCAGGGTCATAAACAGGCGCTCCACCAGGAATTTCAGGGGGCAGGGGTCCAAGACACAAAAAGAGCACAATGGTAATTTTACTCCTTTATTGCCTGACTTTTGCTGGGCATTGTATAGTTATAATGTCGGTATGTATCCTTCAATGGTTCTTGAGAAATTGTTTGGGAATAATAGAAGGCCATCAAATCTGAAGACGGCAACCTATAATAGAAGCTTTAAAGTCATTGATAGATTAAGGTGAATGCTTAAAATCAGCCCTGTGTCGTAGTACTCTATCAATTAAGATTGAAATATGTTATAATTCGGTCACCGAAGTGGTTTTCCAAAAATACATTATGGCAAAGAAATCGTGGTTTCTTTGTATTCAAAATGGAAATGACAACCTGTGGGAAATGCAGGGTTATCTTTCTGAAGTAAAACCAGGGTCATAAACAGGCGCTCCACCAGGAATTTCAGAGGGCAGGGGTCCAAGACACAAAAAGAGCACAATGGTAATTTTACTCCTTTATTGCCTGACTTCTACTTTAATATTAAAAAGGAGGAAAAACTTTTACAAAAATATTCCTGAAATTTTTCACTGCCTTAACGTCTAAAGATACTAAACCCTTCTACTAGCATAAATCGAATAAAAAGCCTCATTACAATTCAATGCGGATATACTGAATTACAGAAGTTACTTCATTTAAAAAAAAATCAAACAAATTGTAGATGGTTGCTTGACTTAATTCTTTACTCCATCATCACTTTAAAATTTTTGTTTCCAGGTAAAAGATTCGAACTGACAAAAAGCAACCTAAATGAAATGAAAGCTACGCAACTCTATTTATCTGATTATTTTCCACACTCAAATCGGTGTCACTCAAAAAGGATAGATTAAGAAAACATTCGCCTGGGTTGCTGCTTTATGAAGGCGTCTACAACAGCATTAGATGTTGGCAGCAAGTCGAACCGCATTTGTATTAGATTCAAGTCA